TTCTTAGTTCTCTCTTCTCTTCCATCTGAATTTCCAATGCTTTCTAATGCGTTCCTCTTCTCATTAATTGAGTTCTTTAGCTCTAGATTGCTGTTTGTTTTTGTTTGTTTTTTTAGAGTTTAAATCTCTCTGGTAAAGCACTTTTGTTCATTAATTTTATTCCTGAGCTATTGAACTGCCTTTCTGAATTTTTTGCTATCTCATTGAGTTGCTTCATAACAGGTACATATTTAGAATTCTCTGTTATTTAGATAACAATCTTTCATCACTTTTGATTTTGGTTTCTGGAAAATTGTTATTTTATTTTTGTTATACTATGTTATTGTGATTGTTGATGGTGCTTGATGGGTTGTACCATTGTTTGTGAGTAATGAGTATGTACCCCATTCTTTTTAGTGTCATAGCATTCCATCTTAGGGATTTACCATGAATTTAAAAACAGGTTGTTTCAAAACAGGTTGTTCTTTTTACCATAAAAAAAGATTTTTTATGTACATTGGTTTTTGCCTACATATAAAAGTATATGTAAATTCCAGGAAGTAGACTTTTAACTATTCCTTTAAAGTGCTGTACCTAGGTCTGATGGACGAGGATGGAGACAATTTTTTTTGCATCCCTTCTCTATTTTCATAGTAGAAACAAATCACTCCATGGGCAAAAAAATAGCGGAACATCTGTTCCATAGCAGAAGCCATAGAATGTTTAAGCTTTTCTTCATCACTGTGCATATTCTGCTACTAATAGAGCTTTCGTAGATAATGGAGAATATCTTAGTTGAGAACACTTCATCAATGATTTAGTAATTTCATCTGATCTTCCCTGACTTTTCCTAATGTAATGTGATATGTGAAAATTTTTCTTACTTTTACTCTCTTATTTAAGGCTGTATTATAGAGTCTCACTTTGTTGTAAAACTTTCTCTCAACCACCTTGTCAAGAAAGAATATAAGGAATTCCAAAAGCAGATCAGTGGTATTTGTAGTACTATTTAGGTACTGTATAGATTTGGCAATATATTTTTAGAAGATTTTATTTAGTCCGATAATTCTCACCCGGTTTGGCTCAGTGGATAGAACATCGGTCTGCGGACTGAAAGGTCTCAGGTTTGATTCCGGTCAAGGGCATGTACCTTGGTTGTGGGCACATCCCCAGTAGGAGATGTGCAGGAGGCAGCTGATTGATGTTTCTCTCTCATCGATGTTTCTAATTCTCTATCTCTCTCCCTTCCTCTCTGTAAAAAATCAATAAAATATATTAAAAAAAATAAAAATAAAATATATTGACATAGGAAATGTGTTATGTTTTAAATAATGTAGTTGATTATAATACTTTAGTAATATTGAACTTAAAAATATATAGCCTTAAAAGAATTAAGTATTCCATATTCAGTGGTAAAGATGTTGAATAAGTAAAATATTATTAAATGTCAATGTTATAAGTAAGTTGTCTATTCATTGATTTTAAATATATTGGTTACTTTTATATGGAAAATATCTAACTGAATAGAAAGCATATTTATGAGTGCATTGTGGTAATAACTTTTTTCTTTTGTAGAATGCATATGAAAACAGATTTCCTGTACCAACATATGCAGCGAAGCAGCCTCAGCAGTTCCCATCAAGGTTTGAAATGAAGTTGCTTAGATTACGTGACCAGATGAAATTCAGAGATAATGTCTAATATTTTTTCCTTCTATTTTTAATTTAAAAAAGAATCAAATTAAAGACTCAGTAAAGATGGGCTTAAAATCAGCAAAAAGGAAAAAATTTATTACTGTATTTTGCATCCTATCTCTTACACCCCCTAAAGTCTTTGAAATTACAGTTGAATTGCAACACTGAGGCGTGTCCTCATGTATAATCTTTATCATACAATAAGAGTGTGTTGAAATCCAATTGAGCATCAAGGGAAGAATATATACTAGTAAACCTTGTGAGACAGATATTCACCTGGTAACGTCGTGTGTTATTGGATTAGTGGTATAATTGATCAAAGTGGTTAAGGAAAAGGTATCCACAGGTTGAACTATGAGGATTGAGAAGGACAGGTATAGAAGTTATAGCCAGTTTAATTCTTAGAGTGGATATTATTTTTGAAAGAGCAGGAATTTCAGTGATGTTCATATATGTAAGATTTATATTTACATAATTTCCTGCCCTTAAGTCCTAACAGCACAAGGGGTGCTTGCTTAATCACATAGTTTCCTCACTTGCTTTTTAATATTTGTCCTTTGAATTTTATATGCTATTCTTTTAAATAATTTTATTGATTTTTAGAGATAGAGGAAGGGAGAGGGAGAGAGAGAGAGAGAGAGAGAGAAAAACATCGATATGAGAGAGACATCGATTTGCTGCTTCCTTCCGGTTTCCCACTGGGGATCGAGCCCGCAATCTGGGCATATGCCCTGACTGGGAATCAAAACAGCAACTCTTTGTTGCATGGGGCGATGCCCAACTGAGCCCAACCAATTGGCCAGGGCTGCACTATTCTTTTTAAAACATAAACCAGAACCTCCACACAACATTGTTGATTATAGAATAGCATTAATTTAATGTAAGTATCCATTTTAGACTTTATTTGAAGACCTTTACTCATTGCATATCAGATTAATAATAATCTCAGAATAAAACGTATCCTTAAGAATGGTTAGTAATGTTAAGGATGGTGTTATATTGGGCTTGAAATGAATGTAGCATTTTATTCCATCTAAACACATGATTAACTGTTTTTTTCTTCTCACAGGCCACCTCCACCCCAACCAAAAGTATCATCTCAGGGAAATTTAATTCCTGTTCGTCCTGCTCCTGCACCTCCTTTATATAGTTCCCTCACTTGATTGTTTTACCTTTCCTTTTGCCGATATCTTCAGGGAAGCTAATAGTTTTTTTCCTGATATTTTCTTGAAAATCCTTTCCTCCTGCTGCAACTATGAATGAAAATAAAACACCACAAAACAAACTTTGTTAACACAGAAAAACAGAAATTGAGTAATGGGAATTGAGAAATATAAGAAGTTCAACGAAGTCAGGGAATTTAGAATAACATTTTCATTTCTGTCACTGAATAAGTTGTATTCAGTCATCTGTGAAGTTAATGTGTCTAACATGGATTGTTGTTATTTTGAACATGTTACTGTAATAATCCTCAAATTAACTGTATTGGTTAAATTTTGTCATTATATGCTTAAATGTAATTATGAAGTTTGATCTTAGTTATCATTAATGTAGTTTCAGGTTGAACATGTGATCATCTAATACCTGTGAAACTGATTAATTTACTGCCAATAATGCATAATATTTTTCATCTTGCACAGACTAATAATCATCATATGCTAGATTCTTGAATAAAAGTTTATTCTGTTTTCAAAAGAATGCACAAATGCCACAATTAAGGTCCATAATATTTTTAAGTACAAAATACACTAAAGGTATATATGTGTGTATTCACACACAGTCATCTTCCACGTTTATGATCATTCTATAGATAAGTGATTCTATGGATTCTGTGGATAATAGAGTCTATGGATCTATCTATGGATAATGAATATTAGAAAAATTAATTTAATAGAATTCTATTGTGAATCATGTTAAAACATGACATCCTTTTACAATAGCATTATTTTAATAAAGTATAAACCTTAAGGTACGAAGTATTTAATAGAACTAATCAGATAAATGCTGTTGATTCATGGCTGTATAAAGCAGGAACAATTGTATGTTCAATCAATTGAGCTGTTATAAAACCACTTGATAATTTCATGAGCACTTTAAGTGTAAAATCTGAAACTTTAAAGCTTGCTTTTAATATAATTTAGAATGTTTACATTTACTAAAGTGTGCTGGAACAGGTCTCTCTTGACACTAATATTTTCAAAGGAATTAGGCTAGAGAAAGGAAGAAAAGGTTTTCTTAAATAAGTGCAAAAATGTTACGTGGTGTCTGAGTTATCACAACTGTTAAAAATGCATTTTTACTATGGAAGAAATGTGGTGGATGGTAAAATTTTAAGCACCTAAAAATTTTACATAACCTTTCATAATAAAGTTTAATAATAGGTTTATTAACTGAATTTCATTAGTTTTTCAAAGAAAATTTGGTTTGTGTATATATACATATGCAAATATAACATTTACAATAAATAAATTACTTGAAATTCTGTTTGTGTTGCCTAGTAACTTCCTACTCAGCTGTTTATAACCTTATTAAAACTTATACTAGGTTAAACTACTGTACTAGTCAATCTTTTACAGATATTTCACTAATTTTTAGACCTGTCAAATTATACACAGTGTTATTAAAGGAAAACAGTTTTGAAGAAGACATATTTCAGTTCTCTGAAGATAGTACATTATTTTAACAATCAGATATACATTAAAAGTTATAAACAATCCCAAGGAAGAATCTTCATTTCAATTTAAGTCCCTGAATGAATTCATATAAGACTAAAATATTTGTATCTTTTGATCAATGATTCTCTCTCATTATTGATGTTTCCATCTCTATCTCCTTCTCCCTCTTTGAAATCAATAAAAATATATTAAAAACAAAAAAACCAGCCTGTGTGGCTCAGTGGTTGGGCATGGACCTATGAACCAGGAGGTCCCATTTCAATTTCCCGTCAGGGCACATACCTGAGTTGCATGCTTGATCCCCCTAGGAGGCAGCCGATAATGATCTCTCATCATTGGTGTTTCTATCTCTCTCTCCTTTTCCCTTCCTCTCTGAAATCAATAAAAGAAATATTTAAGAAAAAGAAAAAATATTTGTCTTTCATTCATATAATCTCAAATTTTGCAGTTGTAATTCATTACTGGGGTTATCAGTCGTTAAAGTGTGTCTGCATTTTTGGGACACACTGTATATTTAGAAATTTATGCTTTTCACTTTGGTTCGTCCTTGGTTTATTTTGATTACTATTAAAAATTATAAAATTTCATGGTCACAGATGCCACTTCAAAATTTGAAAATATAGGGCTTCCTTGTCATCTGCTGAAGATGTCATAATAATCAAGGGTACGTTATATGTAACTGTGATATAACTTTGACTATATGTTCACAGACTTACCTTCTTTAGGGTATTATATTTTCCTTTCCTATCAAACAGATGCCTGGGTCTCTAACTATCTAGTTAAACACAATGCAGGTTTTCTAAGCACAAATCAGATTTCATTAAATTCCATAAGTGTTCTCAATTCTGCCATCTTGTAGGTACCATTGTAAGTAGTGTGATGTGTAAGTTTTTGATTGGATTCCTCCTATTATGGAGAGAGCCATATACACAGGAAGGTTAATATAAAATCTGCTCTATTAAAGATGTATTAAAGGTTGAGGAGAGGGAAATAAATAATTAGAAACTGATGAACAAAAATAGATACAGAGGCAGAGCAGCATCTAACAGACTGTCAAACTACAGCGGGAAGGCTGGGGAGGGTTGGGGGGGTGGGTAAGAGATCAACTGAAGGACTTGTATGCATGCATATAAGCATAACCAATGGACACAAGGGGAGGCCAGGGGACTGTCAAGGGGGGCGGGGGAAGGAGACATATGTAATACTCTTTGTAATACTTTAAGCAATAAAACAATTTAAAAAATAATTAGAAATTTATTTAAAATACTTTAATTGACAAGTATTTACTGTAACTGTTCTAATGCTATGAGACCAGATTTTTGCCTCGACTGTCTAAGAGCAATTTCTATTGAAATACAAGCGAGGTGTATATTTTTGTTGCCTTGCTTTTGCTCATGCTATAGTTTTATTTGGCGGGGGGGTGGGGGGAGACGGGGTGCTTAGATTGCCCTGTTGAAACACTGTGCATTCATAAAGTAGCATCTTGAGTGTCAGTTCAGATGTATAATTCCCTAAGTGAGCTTTCCTGTGTCTGCCCCTGTGCCTTTAGTTTGTGTCTGCCTTTCTGTTAACTAGTATGAGAATACATTATTTGGGATTTGAAAAGAATTAAAAGATAGTGTATACTAGTATAGGTGGAGACAAGGATGAGGCTGGAAGGGGGGAGGCATTGTAATCCAAGGGAATAAGCCAATGTCCATTCAGGAAAGACCAGAAGTCATGGTGGCCAAAGCGTTGGGGGTAGGAGAAAATAGGTGGCAGCCTGGGTTCCGAATGTAGAAAGTCGAGAGCATTATGCTAAGCGAAATAAGCCAGCCAGAGAAAGATAAATATCACATGATCTCACTCATTTATGGAATATAATGAACAACATAAACTGATGAATAAAAACAGATCCAGAGACAGAAGCATCGATCAGATCATCAAACCTCAGAGGAAATGTAGGGGAGGGTGAGGGTAAGGGGGAGAGACCAACCAAAGGACTTGTATGCATGCACATAAGCCTAACCAATGGACACAGATATCAGGGTGGTGAGGGCTAGAGTGTCTGTGTGTGGGGAATAGGGGAATAAGGACACATGTAATACCTTAATCAATAAAAAAGTTAATTAAAAAATAAAAATTGAACTGCCTTTTGACCAGTGATCCCAGTTCTAGGAATG